CATCTGTCACTGACATAAAAAGCACATGTATGTCATAAAATATTTTGCATGGTTTCCCAATTCCGTATATGTATATGATACCTCGCTCAGCTACGCTAGTCGCGAAGAGTTGCAGCACATGTTTTGCTCAATTTATCCCTCACTTTCAGGGCAGCCATTTATTGCATTCCGATAGATCATAGGCTTTAACACTCAATTTGAATTCAGAAACATTTGGGAAAGTCACTGACGTGGTCATCTTTCCAAAGACGCATACACAGCATGTAAAACACAAAGGGGACCGTCAATTGCTTCCGTGTATGGAATTGAGCCGTGGCATTGAAAGGCTGAGGACCACTGAGATTACTCCTTAAACTGATCACACGCACCTATTGCGACTTATCTGTTATTATATCATCACACTGCTTATAGCCTCATTCAGCTTTTGACTCATATCAATAATTATTTGCGGCAAAAAACTGCATCTGCGTGGCGAAATCTAGAGGGCATGATAGCGCTCAGGTAAAACATAATGATGTTAAACCTTCCTCAATAATAATATCTGCCCGTCCAGATGATTTTGTTTTTGCCTTGGGTGTTTGCTATAAGGGGTACGTCGGCAGAGGGAAAGTTGTCATACAAAATAATTGTATCCACGATGATCATCAAGCAAGATTCAAATATCATGGTTAGACATGGCGAAAAAACACGGCGTCTAGATGGCAAATACCTACTGGTCATGATGTAGACTTACCAGGGGAAAACAAAAAGCTGCTCTGACCATGCTCTGAAAAAATATCCGTTGTTATATCCCGACACGGGGAATTGATTGCGTTAAGTCTTCGTGTTAACAGTGCCCTGTTAGCAAGATAGTTCGCCAAATGTCTGGATAATTCTCCGAGAAAAGCTGCCTGCCGAATCCAACCGAGAGCGGCACGTATGAATGATACCTACAGGCCAGGCAAGAGCAGCAGAGCTCTATCTCTCCCTCTCTCTCTCTCCTTTCTAATTAAGTCGTACACGACATTGCAAGCCCCCCGGGGTGTGTTATTATTACTGAAGAGGACTTTCTGATTTCTTGTATATTCTCCATCCAAACTGCCACCAAGTCAACAGACTAATGCATTCGTCACATCTTGAACGCGCTCATTGCGAATTGCATTTTTATCAAAACGCGTTCCTACAAGGCACAGGCCTGTTCCTCTGCACCTCTGTTTAAATGCTGCGTGACATTGCTGGACGACGTTAACCGTCAGCTATTGAAGGAAATAGGTCACTGCGCCGCTCAACGTGTTGTGCCGTGACTGAACGGGTGTCGTGCCATGACTGCGCGGATGTCGTGCCATGACTGAGCGGATGTCGCACCACGACTGGGCGGCTGTGATTCGATCTGCCATCGCCACCGATAAGCGGCACACATTCGGTGATATATTTCTTTTTTTCGGTACGTCCTTGATCACCATACACCCTTTAGGAATAATAAGCCTCCGAATGAAAAACGCTCCCATGCCCACTTCCAGATTGGATCTGATCGCTCGGAGAGCCAAGGCCGTGTCATCATGGGTACCGGTGCGTGAAATACTGCGCCGCCGACCGCCTTGGGGGCTCTGTTGTACGTAAACGATACTAGGGACGGTACAAGTGCGTTGCCGTGCACGAACCCTGTTCCGTTCCATTCCGTTCCGATCGGTTTGATGTGACGTAGTATGCGCCGAATCACTATTGGAAGAAAACTAACGCGAGACGTGACCTTGCCGTCGGTCAGCGATGTCAAGGACGACTTTTAGCAACCTTTGGTATGGGCACCAGCCGTGGTGGCGGGGAGCGGTAGCTTCCCGGAGCTGTCTGCCCAACTGCATTCCGTTGGAGCACATGTATTAACGGCCCAACCATTTTCCTCCGCCAATTATGGCGGCCATTTTTTGAAATATGATTGACACAGCGAACGTGTCCGCTTGACTGCATAAGAACTTTGAATTATATTTAAAATGAGCCTCTTATGACGGTCTTAACCGAAAATAAAAAGAGTTCTATTCTTCTTCTCATTCTTTATCATGAGAGTTGGAAATGAGTTGTTAAAAGCAACCCGCGGTGTCATTCCGCACATTTGCACTTTACGCACCAAGTCTTGTTTGACACCAAATCGGAATTGTTTGCCTTAGGAAGATGCACTGATCCATTCCTCTTCGACCTCTGGCAATAATAAAAGTATTGAATTTTCAACCTATTTCAATCCCATCTGTTGCCAAGATAGTGACGAATGCGGTCCAGGGGCGTCTCCATCTCTATTCCAAAGCCATCTGCTTGCTCCCACGCCGCACCGTTTCCCTGGCCCATCACTCCACGGAAGCCGCACTCATTAGTAGATATCCCTTACCGGGTTCGATCTACTTTGCACCATGGTCAGTCCGCTGCTCTGTTTATAGATATTACCAAATGATTCAGCACCATTGATCAGTACGCCCTGTTCACAGAATTGCACTTCCACTGTGTTGGCATGCCATAGTTTTTAGTCTACCGTCCTGGTCACAACCAGAATGCAAGCTTCAGTGACCCGACAAGCGCATTCCTTTGCGGATCGGCGACCCGTAAAACAGGCCGCACTCCAAGGCTACCCCGGAACCTTTGCTGCGCCCATCTTTGCCAACGATCCCAGCCTGTGTGCCGGCGGCGTCTTCGCGATTAGCACACTACACTCAGCTCAGTTGGCCACTGGCCACTGGCCCGACGACTGCGTGGCCTGAGGGTGCCGGCGGCCAGCGTGTATATCTAAAAAAGAACACCACACAAGGCGTCACATCTTTATCATGGAGCGCCAGCGACTGAATCGGGCATACTAGCGCTCAGGGGCCATGGCGCAGCCGGGATGGCAACCGGGGCACCTTTAACTGGTTATTATATATATATATATATATATATATATATATATATATATATAAATGATGGGTAAATTTGTGTTCAGTCCTTTTGATTCTATACGGCATTCAATGATATTCAACACCATACCGAAATGTTATTTGATACCAGACAGCCCCAAGTCATTGACGCGGTAACAATTCCTAAAATATTTTATTCAAGAACATTCAAACATCATACCTTGGTTGAAATTATATTCGGGTTAGCACTTGTAACATATGTTGGCATATTCTCGGTGCTGACGCCCACACTCGTGCTCCGTCCCAAGGCTTTCCTTTGTAATTTCAATTTGCTTAAAACGTGTTAAGGACACGGCCTCTCGCCACTGCGCCAGATTATCCAGCAATATAAAAGACGAGACAAGTCGACTAAATAAGCGTAATTTTTGGAGAGCAACATCCAAGTGCTTATGATTCGTGTCGATAACAGATCTGAGGCTCTCAGCAATATTACGTTTTAAATCAATCATATATCTCTTATAACGCTGTTATCTTACGCACTACCACCCGCAACAAGAACATCGTCCAGCATCACGTTTTCGGGATGTCTCGGGGCTAATCACCATAGGAACCGGGGTTTCATGAAGTGTAATAGATCGAGTAACCTTTGGTTTAGAACTGTGGCAGCACCGCTGTCTTCGACCAATCACATGTTTGGTTTGGCCTCCGAATTCGCAGCAGGCGTTAGGATACAGTGACACCCTGCGTAGCGTCAAAAACGTTGGAGCACATTCCCCTACACAGGTCACACGCGGCCGTGGGTCAAGTGTGGCGAACGGCCCCGCTCCTTGATGACCCGGGCGGCGAGCATAAATTTTGCCCAATTGTTCCGGAAGCGAAGGGAGAGTGTGTTACGCGCCGTCATAGCTAGGTCGATCGAAATATCTATTGCAACAACTTGGAGGACGCTACTTAACAGTGTGTTGGTTATCCTCAAGCCTATACACTATAGCGCCTCTCAATCTCAGACACAAGGTGGACAACATAATGCAGTCGATATAACCATTACACGTAATCAACAAGTTGGAGGTTGGAACAGCTGGTAGACATCGCAGAAGTTCTGCAACGAATGTTGTTACAATCTATGTCTTTTGGAGCTTAAGTATGCAGTGGGAAAAGGTTACGTAACGCCGTAAATACCATATACCTGAGGTTCGTCCGTTAGTCCCAGCTGTCAGAAGATGTGCAAACTTTGAGCTTTGAGCCCGTTAAGGCGGTCTCAACGGCGCGTCCAGGTTAAATTTGTAACTCATCATACAACTGAGTACCTTTCGAGGCAGTATGAAAACAGGATGTTGCAACTCCCATGCACATCTCACCGCTCGTTGCGCTGTAATTTCTACGGGCAACATTTCAGCGACTTGCATTTGGCCCAGTAAAAATATCATAGGAATACTATAATGCGGAGTGAAGTCGGACTTCAGGCTTGTGTTTTTGAAACAAATATTCGGTTGTATTCTTTGTCCGTTTTCTCACGATGATAACATAAATGTTTCCCATCGGGTGCCTTTTTTACGTTGTTAATGCTTCTGATTGTTTTGGATTACTTTGACGTCGGTGACATTGCACAAAGCACCCTAATGTTCTCTATTTTTCATATGCTCAAATATCCTCTATTACTTATTGTGCTTCTGGTACGTGCTTCAATGCATGTTGCCTGTGAATGAATAAATAGCACACGCAAATTGTCGCACACAAGATACTATTTTACATCCGTGCCAAAATACACCACAGCAAACAGACCATGGTATTGCATCTGAGCCCATCCTAACTTCAACGGCTCGTTGTCGTATTCGGTCCCGAATTTGCATCGCATCTCCGCAAGTGCCAGCGAGTCACTCGCTTTGCTGCGGCCTCTGGGGGACAATCACGACACCTGATAGGGCCACCCAGTCTGAGTGCAGAGCCGTCGCAGTGTCTAAACAGCGTGTCAACCATGGACAAGCCAGGCCGAACGTTCTGAACACAGGTACGCCTACTCCGTGCGCTCACTCACACTCCATTCCGTCCGTGCGCATACCAACTCCGACCAGCGACGCGTTTTGTTCCAGCTTTATTGCATTTACCTGCAACATCTCTGGGCAGTAAGTCACTTCTGAGCATCTTCGTTAGCCACAGTGCCTGGGCAGAATACCTTCCAAAAATGATTCTGTTTCGGCAAAGCATTCAACATGCATCTGGTGTCATCACAAAGTTTGCGAGAATTACCACGGTGACGACACGAACAAGAGACTATCAATATTTAACCGAGGGAGCACCATATCCGCTGGACGGGGCGCTGTAGCCTCCCGAGGGTGCACCATATCCGCTGGACGGGGCGCTGTAGCCTCCCGAGGGAGCACCATATCCGCTGGAAGGGGCGCTGCTACCTCCCGAGGGAGAACCGTATCCGCTGGACGGAGCGCTGTAGCCTCCAGAGGGAGCACCATATCCGCTGGACGGGGCGCTGTAGCCTCCCGAGGGAGCACCGTATCCGCTGGACGGGGCGCTGTAGCCTCCCGAGGGAGCACCATATCCGCTGGACGGGGCGCTGCTACCTCCCGAGGGAGCACCGTATCCGCTGGACGGGGCGCTGTAGCCTCCCGAGGGAGCACCGTATCCGCTAGACGGGGCGCTGTAGCCCCCCGAGGGAGCACCTCCATAGCTTACGGAGGGCCTGGATGCTCCCTTCACGATACGTGGCGCGGAGAAGGTCCTGGTGGGGATGTAGCCGCCGTTGAAGTGCCGACCCCGGAAGAGCTGAGCTCCGCTGACGTAGTTCCGTCGCGGCGCCGGGTGGTACACAACGCTGTAGCTCCGGGCGGGCCCGTACTCGCCACCCTTGCCTCCGCCGCCGCCCGAGCCGTATCCGCCGCCGCCGCCGCCGCCGCCGCCGCCGCCGCCCGAGCCGTATCCGCCGCCGCCGCCTGAGCCGTATCCGCCGCCGCCGCCGCCGCCGCCGCCGCCCGAGCCGTATCCGCCGCCGCCGCCGCCGCCGCCGCCCGAGCCGTATCCGCCGCCGCCGCCGCCGCCGCCGCCACCCGAGCCGTATCCGCCGCCGCCGCCGCCGAGAGCCGCACCGTAGCCGGAAGACACGCTGGGGCCACCGTAGCCGGAAGACACGCTAGGGCCGCTGTAGCCAGACGCAGGAGCGCCATATCCTCCACTACCACCTCCACGCGGCAGGCCGAGGCCAATGACCTCTCCGCCTAGACCCTGGGGTCCCCGATGATGCCGCCCGCCACCACCGCTGCCTCGACCGTCGCCGAGACAGGTGGCGACCACAAGGGACAACGACAGAACCTGTCAAGAGTACGAACAAAGCGACGTCAGTGCTAGGTGGCCCCTGGACTTGTGCGGTCGGGCTGGGCAGGCGTCACGATCTTGATCTACGAAACATTGCTGGACAGTTGTGGGAAAAGCTCTCTCAAACAGGAGTAAGGCGAGACGTGGGACGATATGCAAGCGAAGCGAATCTTTAGCTCTCTTCAATCAAGCTGTCACATCTATGTGAGGTAGGGCGTTTGCCCGCTGGATGGGTGTCATATGTCTGAAATCGGATCGTTTAGTAAACTCCAGCCATCCATCTGCTGCACCTTTGACGATAGCTGGGCGCGCCCCAAACCCTGCTCCCTGCGCCCACACCCGCCCGAGTCAGGCCACCGCCGCCTGCCCACCTGTCTCAGTCGCATGATGCAGGAGCGGACTGCAGGCAGCAGTGTGACGACGTCGTGTCGACGCCCGGTTATATATGACCGGCCGGCCGTGTGACCCGACGCCGGCGTTCGAAGGCCGCTGGGGCGCCGGCGGGCCCGGTGAAAGGTCGCCCGCTCGGCAGCGCCTGCGATGCGGTAGTCGAGCGGCGCCGCACTGCCACGTGTCAGGGGCAGGCGGTGTGAAGGTCAGGATGTGCGACGGGCAGCGGGCTGGGGTCCTGAACGTCTGGTGGGCGGGAGGTGTGATGGTCTGGATGGTCGAGGGACCAAGCTGTGTGAGCGGCATGTGTGAGCGGCAGCGGGCTGCGGTCCAGGAGGTGTAGTGGTCGGCAGATGTGATGGCCTGGACGTGTGAGTGTCGAGAGGTACGAGGGTGATGCGGTGTGATCACCAGACCGCACAGATGGAATTCTTGGTCATCTTAGTCGTGTTGCCAAAGAAAAGTTGAACCGATGTGAATTTTGAGACGCAGTATTGCGTGGCCTTAGTTATTTTGTATGGGGCGGACCATTGGTTGAGCGAAAGTCTCCTGGATCTTGTTGCTGGATCTGTTACACAGCCCTTGAAAACAACTGTATCAGGTAAACACCAGAGGATATTGACAGGTGTTACTGTGACATGTTATGCCTGGCGAAAGGGTTGAAGACCATTGTGGAATTTGAATCAGCCCGTTCGACCACAGCGAGAACTAACAAACCACGTCAGAGAAGAGGACGGCGTTGCAGATGTCTTTCGTCGTCGCAAGATCTATCTTATGTTTGTTCAAAGGCCATGATTTACACAATAAGATGATGTGGTCTATATCATAGATAGCAACCCATATCTGACCATCAAGGTCTAAGTTTGGCCGAGCTCGACATCGGATTGCGCAGCCATGCATGGGCAGTCAGAGCGATATTAATGCAGTTCACAGTGATGCACGTTAAGACATGCAGCCTCGGAAACCTCTTTGGACAGCACCTCCTACGAAAGAAAGTTATTCGCCGCTCTGAGCACAATTTCTCCAACATCACCTCGAAAAGAGGCTACCGGCTGCGAACCGTTGACCTTAGAAACCTAACATTTTGGAGGATGTGCGCAAACAATAAGAGCACAGCTAACCCAACTTTCGGCATCATGTGCAAAACCGTTCCCGACTTATTTTGAGGAGGCTTAACAGCCCCGAGGCCCGCATTAGGGCGAGGGCTAATTAGCAAAATAGTCTTTTCCAGTGGTCAGAGATTGTTTAAACGTAATATGGTGAATGCGTTAGGGCTAGGGGGTCTGTGTCTGCCAGGCTGCCCCGTCTATATCTATCGGTGGAAGACTCTTGGAACAGCGAGTTAAATATCAAGTTAAATTCTCTTGGAACAGCGAGTTAAATATCAAGTGTTGTGGAGCCATTTAAGCACCAAAAGCAATGTTGCAACGCCATGCTCTGCGTAAGGTACTCTGACATGAGGCAAGACGGAAGCTGGGATAAATTGTTGCCTTCCAGCACAGAGCATTTGCTGCAGAACAGGGCTTAGGCTGTTGGTACTCTTAAAAAGTGCCTGTAAATGACGTATGGCTAAAACACGCTTCAACAAAGCTCTGCATACTGCATACAGTCGCTTAGGTTAATGAAATGTGGTGAAGCATGGTATCTTATTTTGATCGTTTTCAGGCCAAGGCAGTACAGCCCGTGCGCTTTTCAAAGGTATCGCTCCGACTGGTCAGTGAAACATAATGGCGTGTTGGCAGCCTGAGTGTTGACGACTTGGGCATTGACAACCTGAGTGAGAATCTTTTAACCTGACCTCATTTGATCCCGAGCTTTTTAATCGGAGCGTACGTTTAAGTCATGCCCTGTCAAATGACAGATCCATGATCTCGTTCTCAGAAGTATGCGCGGCCAAATGAGGACTTTCAGCGCCTCGCGATGCTTCCTTCAATCCTTGTGCAGCAGCTCTTTCTATCCAGCATGCAAGAGCGGGGAAAATGGGTGCATGCTGAGCACCACTGATACCTGTAGTCTCTTGTTAAGGCTGTTTTTCGTTAAGGTCGTGACAGTATTCAACATTAGGTATGCGACTTTTACCCAAAAAACACGGCATACTATACATATACCGCACAGAGAACTAGATATTTAAAAGTATATGAGCGCTATGCTTGAGAATTCTGCGCGCTAAAAACGTCACACAGCATTTGCAACGTTAACCATATGACGATAGCTAGAAACTACACACCAGGCGCACTCAACAGTGACAGTTACAGTACAGTTACACCAATAAAGATAATCTCATCAATATTTTCATAATTTTTCCAACATGTTCGTACTTGGATATTACAGCTGGATCAACCCGGTTCCAATCTCGGGTCGTTTTAAGAAGAAAAAAATGAGGTGTGATAACAAAGAAGACGAGAATGCGCTAAACACCTAATACCCGACATCATACTTCGATAACCTAGTACCCGACACAATAATAGTAAGCAAATATTTATTTAATGATCCTTTATCCGACATGGTTTCGTCTAACAATGACGTTTTCAACGTAACATTGATGTGTCCATTACGCAATTTAGACAGCCGACAAAGCCAAAGCCTCTGGTCAAAATTCTGGCGGCCTTAAACGCAGTACTGCAAACACATTGTCTACACTCTCTTGGGCGTGGTGCTTGCACTAAAACAAATTTGGTTGCCCTCCCCTTGACCATTTCTATGCTATGAACTAAGTGCGTGACATTATATACACAGCGCGCATATCTTGCCATGGGCGTGACAAATTAACCATTGGCATTTATTTTTATATGTCTTGGGCATTCGCTAGATACTTTCTTGGCAAACCTGAGAGTCTGGTCATCTTTCTCATCTATGTTTTTGGTGTTTTCCAGTTAAACCTATCTGATATTCACACGCGAGTGTACTCACATTCATTCACACTTTTACCACACGTTCATTCAAAACCTGGAGCGGGGCCGTTGGAGATCTATCTCTCTTTATTCGCATAAAGGCGAATTTGAAAACATTTCAGTCCACCAGCCATTTGTCACACCAGTCTACTATTGAGCATCAACTTTCCCGCAAAACTGCGTTCATAAGGCCAGTACAGCCAAGGTGTGCACATGTAACCACGCCATCAGGAAATAAACGTACATCGCAATTTTATCATTCCACGATGTGATTTATGCAGGCAAGGAACAACAAGGACCCTAAAACATCGCTTTACAGCACCCCAGATCTTACAAAGCACTTTCCGAAGCGGTCTACGCGTTGTCCAAGACGTCCTAAACGTAAACAAAACGCTTTCTAAACTTTTTAAGTATCTTCACGTTTTCAAAACGCAGTATTAGATAGTGCCACACGGGGTCGCTAAACCGATTTTCCTGGTCTGGGAAACTTGCATTCGACCTTGCATCGTCAGGAAAGTTGCTAGTACTTTGCGCTGAGTTCATCCAAAAGGCATTTATATCGTGATTTAAGTGATCGACACGGTTGATGATGATTTAAATGTCATGACCGGTCAGGTTCGCTAAAGACCAAACCTTAGATATCTTCCAAAGCAAGACAACCTTTACACTTAGACCATAACATGATCCAAAATGAAGCATAGGATGAACGCCCGCCCTAAGTCAGAATAATGAGAGATTGAGCACTGACCTCCGGTGGCATAACGCTATCCTCTGTGATTGAATGATGTCATTTGTAAATAACGGAAAAAGTAAAACAGTTAAAAATAGCAAAAAAGCAAGCAAAGCAAATGATGTCATTTGGCGTCAGCTGGAGTTCGTCTGCAGGGTTATAGAGGGCTGTGTCGCAGTGAAAAGGGGAAAGAACGGAGCAGATGAAAGCAGCACAACCGTCATCGACCCGGCATCCGAGAACAGCCGCGAGAGCTAACAAAAGTTAGATCAAGTTGTCGGGCATCCATATGCTTAATTTTTAGCACGTCTTTTTTCCATTTGTGTTCGGGGGGACTGGTAGATATTTCCAGTGTGGATTTGATAGGGCGTTGCACAGGGCAAAGGCAGATGCTGAGAGCGCGTCATCAGTGACGTCACACTCCATCTGGCATCCCTAATGATATCAAGGGCGGCATGTCAGAAAGTGCTACATGATTAGTGGAATATCTCTCCACCCCGTTGAGGATCACCTCTTGAAATCCAATCCCGCACTACGGTGTTCCCAAATGCACACTGTATATAGTGTTCGACTCAAAAGGAATGTCTAGACACAGTTATATGGTTGATTATTTTGGTCAAGCACAACCACCGCGAATGGCCGAAATACAACTGGGTGCCCATTTTGACTTTTCAACTAGTTGCCAATGGCTGTATTTCTATCCCTACCGCATTTTGTTATCGGTTCTC